TACTTCATTTTGTAAGTCATAAGGATGACAGTGCGGTATGGTTCACAGCAAACAGTACCAGTGAGTCCTAGGCAGTAATCCTCGCATGGATATCATCTTTTGATTTCGGAAACGGTAATCCACCATCTCGCAGTCCATACATGGCCAACAATGAGGTAAATAAGAATCTAAGGAGTGATGAGTTAATAAAATAAAAACGAGTACTTACTTTGGCATTTATGTAGTAATTACAATCACCTTCAGATGGGCTAACCGGAATTTGGTGAAAAATATTGATGAGTAGCGGCGATGGCACAGCAATTTTGAGAGAAAGTGAGAATGTTGCACTCAGCCTATGGATTTGTAAAGAATACAGTGTAGTATACAGCATCCAAATATAACATCTCCGCACTCAGGAATGCGCGTTTTATCGGAATTTGTGTGCAATTAAAACCGTCAGATTGGGAAAAAGGATAGTCGATCTTAATACTCCGATATGCATTTGTCCAGCGGAACATGTAAGAAAATAGAGGAGCGGCAAATTAGTGTAAACACTAACCAAGAGTAGGTCTAGTTATATTGGAAATAATACCCGGGGATAGATTAACAATGTGGATATCATATAAATACACCCCAACAATACATACTACACTAAATTCTCTCAATGTGCTCAGCATTTTCATTACAGTATTCACTGAAGGGGATCCCTGTACTTCACTCTTCAATGTCTTAGGCGGTTTGATCTGCTTAATGTTGTCAGGCAATTTGATCCATATCTTGGAACACACTGCCAGCAAGAATTTCTCTCTTAGCCTGGTACGGTGCCTAGGGCACAAGAAGCTCATTTCTGTACTGGAACCGTTCACTGGTATCTGTGCACACTATGGACGTCAAACTACACAGAATGCTTGATGGCTCGGTGCATGTAACCGATGTTACTTATCAGCCTCCGCAACCATATATGGTCAAGACCAAGTTCTTGACACCTCAGCTGTTAAGTCATAGCAGTGGAGTACCAGAATAATTGTTTCGTGAAGCACCTGTGCACCTTCTCAAGACCTATTTTATCACATTTCAGTATATTAGTGCAAACGAATGGTCATTATAACAATGTAGGTAACACATCTGCGTGATCTAGCCTAAGCCTGACTTCACGCAGCGCCAATGGTCGGCAGAAGAAGTCGATTGTCCGTTTCGATCTTGCTGTCTGATAATCGCATTGTTCAGAAAAGTCAAACTTTACTGAGTAGCGTAGACCCAGGTCCCGAATGCGAATGCAATGCATCAGATGTTCATCATATACGTCTTTTAGATGCAATGTGACATCTGATGGGAATGATTCGAATTCGTTAACGGACGGAAGTCTTGTGGTGTTTGAATCAAGATTATCGGAAGCATTGAGAGGGAGGTCTGTGAGGAGGGAACGTGAGTACATGCATGTTGTTGTCGTCGGATCTTCCACGAATAATTTCGGGGGCAGAGCAATTTATCACTTGGGTGCACTGGCAGACTTCGGTCAAATAAGCTGTGAGAGCATTAAGTATAAATTGCAGCTGTCATGGCGTGAGCCCACCATAAGGTCCGAAAGCATTGTAGTAAGAGTAGTGCCATTTAGCTGACGTCGGACATCATTGTTAGTTTTAGGATTGGTTGCCGAAACATCACCACTTTCCCCAAATATGCTCGGAGGAAAGTGGTTGGTTAAGCGTTGCTGTGCAAGTGTAGTGTGACGCAGGAACAGCGCTGTCGATTTGAATCCACTGTTCAATTTGCTTCATTTTGATTTCCACCATAGACTGCTAGACGATAAACAGGAGTATCCAAGGTACAATGAGGAGACTGAATGGTGTTACTTCGAAGTCGTCTTTCATGCGATCCGTTGAAGAAGTTCGACGCTTCTGAAGATTCTTGGCAAACACCGGTCATTACAGTGAGTGAATTGTCAACGGATGTTTATTCACCGCTGCGTACTGTGGATGAGCTTTAGTTGTTGCTTCCAGTGGTGAAGCTGATAAGCAAGCCCCTACCAGCTATTCGCTCCTCGTGTCGAGGGCTAGTTATATGTCTTGCATGCGAAGCATTCGATTGAAGGCACTTGCTAGTCAATGCAATGTTAATAATCTTAATCTAATAATAATCATAATTATAATGCGAATATTTCTCCTCAAGTGAGAATCGTCGTCCATATTTAGCACAGTTCATATACAAGTACAAGTAATACGATGCTCTTGCATAGGCAATATGAAGTAGTGTTTTTCTATTTGTTTGTGTTTCAGACGATGTATATCTGTATGTTTGTGTTTTACGCGAAGGTTGCATGCACTGGTGTGCTTTGACTATGTTGTATAAGATGCGGGACACTTTCACTGCGTTAATTTTTGCAATTTATCTCATTAGGCGGTACATGGGCCTTTATTAAATTGATCGGCAGGCGATCTCCCACACGAATTAAATGTCATAATGGCGTCCAGATCGAGGTAGCTTCACAGTTTACTACGAAATAATTGCACACTCTCACACAAGCTGAATGTTATTGGGAGGCCATTTTACAGTGTAGTGTATGGGACTAGAACACGTTCAACCGCACATTTGTCCTGCTTCGCTCCATAACCAGGATAACGTTTTGTTACGAAGATCCCAAGTGGGGCCGTGCTGCAATGGTAATGTGTGTAGGTCGCAGTAGGCATGGCCATGGATCAGACTGTACAACAGTATCAATTTATGCTTTTGTCTTCGCAGCCAAAACGGATCGAGATGGAGTTGCTAGCACTGCTCCCGACAGTTTTTGGCGGATTGTTTGCTTAATAGGTGTCGTAACTTGTAGACAACGTTTATGCCATCAGCAAATGAGCACGACGTGCCATGTTTACCATCCATACTGTTGTCATTGATGTAGTGTAAGAAGAGTAATGGACCGAGCACAATTTCTTTTATAACCCTACTGGTGATAGCACGCGAGGAACGGTGATGGTCGCCTATGTAGACAATTCGGTTCTTCTTACCTTCAATGGCTGTGGTTGGGACCTGTCAGTGGTGTTGAAAGTAAGGCACTGGATATTCTTGCACAGAGGTTAGTATAGTCGAAATTCACACCAACGCATCTGACTGCTTAATGGTGCTTCCTGCGTCGCCGTTTGAAGTTTTGTATATTATGCTGTCTGATTTCGAAGCCCATGGTGCAGTCTCAATTATGAGCATTTGCAGTTAAGTCCTATCGGGTTTAGCCAGTTCGTCTTTAAACGGTGCGTGCTAGATTATTGCTCCACAACTCATGAACCAGTTAACCGATTCTTTTCCGGGAACTTTAAAAAGAATTTGACAGCGTTTTCCTTTTAAATAAATAAGTAAATAAATAACTGGTACATTCTTCGGCGATGAGAAGTGCAGTCCAACTATGTGGTCTGATCAATGTGTACAGCAGGAGAGCAAAAGGCAATCAATTTGTTCATGATTATACAATGGATCCAAAATAAGTATTAAAGGAATTGGCAGGTTTAAGTTATTAAAGAAATTAAAAAAGCCAGAAACAATAACAAACGCAGCTTTGAACAAATGTCCAGGTAATCTAATACGGCTATCCGTGGAACCGTTCCCAGGAGACCTGCTTCCATGCAAAATATTCCCTCGAAAGTTTTCGCCCGCACTTCCATGATATACCTGGTCGCGTGTCGGTGTGGCATAGTAGCATATCAGCCATCACTTGTTTATCATATGTTGTGTACTTTTTAATGCTACTTTTAAACATGTATCCCATGCGATGAAGCCTCAGCTCAGTCCGTCATGCGAACCATTCAATTATGGCACCCTTTTATACGTCAGTCACTTGGTGGCAATGAGCATTGCATAGGTAAAGTCTTTTATAATCTGGGAGCTATAATCCGTCACCACATGAGATCATTCCAGTCGTGGCGAACGATGAAATAAGCAAGAATGCAGCAGAAGAAGAAGCATTGTGTGAAAGAGTTACTATCTCGTTAATGTACAAAATAAGCAGGTATGTTTTCACATCAGCGTAAAAATGGATCGAGCCGATCAAACTATCAAATTGTGCGGCGTGACAGCCGAGGACAGAAAACTTTACGAGTAGTCTATGGGCAACAAGTCAACTAGGGAATCCGTTATTGCCATCACTGAATTCCAGTATAGGTTTGTGGACAGTTGACTCCAGAAATGAAGGAGAAATGATTAGCATTGCAGAAAACTAGAACAAAGGGAATCGCAGAACAGTATTACGAATTAGTCAATTTAATGAGAAGGTGTTTGCATCCAATATCCGACACGCTGCAGATACTCAGTAATGATGTTTTCACTTTATTTACATTAAAGTTACCAGAACTTCTGAACACGTTTTGCAGTCTACGTTTTCGTTCGTGTATGTCGGATGCGGTTGATGCAACAAGCTCTCTCACTTCTTTAGATGCGTGGGCTCCAGCGTTCCTAACCTGTTGCTTATGTATACTAAGTAAAATATACGATCTTTCAAAGACCGAATGAAGGCCAAAGTTTGATTCATTTCATGTATTTGCAGTTAGTCAGAGTTAAACTGATCATTGTTGATAAGACCACCCAATTGGTCTGGGCCTCCTACCGCTGAGGAATAAAATGTTTATTGTTTATTTATTTATTTGTTTATTTAGTCGGACACTGTAACTGATACTTGAGGGAGCACTGTTTCGCAATCTCTTAAGTGCTTTGTGCTTTAATTGCACTGTTTATGAATTAGAGAATATAAACTTTTTCGGTTACTGGATGTGATCAGGTTTAACCAGAGCCATTGTAGACCAGTGCTGCCAGTGTCGATACTGATAAATTGCTTACGAAGTGGCTCTCAAAAAACAGAATTGTGACTAACCAAGTTTCACTTTACACTGTCCAGAGCGTACGAGTTCCGCGCTGTAGATAGCCTAGTAGCTGCGTGCTGATTGTTTGTCCTGTTTCGTCATCCACCCTTCTAGGTTAGGCGTGTAACCTCGGTGGAAAAATGGGGATGAGAGATGCGTATCAATCCTATGATCGCGAATCGCTGGTGAGGGAGCAGCGCGGTGGTGGACGCAGACTCTGGGACTCGCCCTGGTACGCAAACGTGGCATCCATAATGGCTCGATGGAAGTGATACTAGTGACTGCGGAAAGCTACTGCAGCTTTAATACACGAGGTCCGCATGTTGCAAATTACAGCTGACTGGAAATTCTGTACAGTGTGCTCTTGTATAAGGGTAACCTGTTATGTGCGCGCTCATAATGAGGTGCTTTGTGCGTAAGTTTCGGAGTAAATTCTGATGGAAAGCACTGTCGAGGTAAATAGTGCGGTGGAGAGAATGAAGGTGTGATACTAGACCTGTTGGACATGGCAAGTCAATCCGAGTCGAATAAGTGCAACCGCAGCCAGTTGCCCCGGAATGACAAGCAGTAAATCCACTTGAGGACAGAGCGCTGAATCTATGCGGCCGCACTCTGCGTGAGGTACTATGTACTGAATCAAGAAGCTAAGCTTTCAAGGGTACTTGCTGTTCTACATGAGGAGTACCTCTGCGATCGCAGCTTGTGACCACGGTGCGAGAGATATGTCTGATACTAGAAAGGTGTGCATACATTGTTCGCGGCTAGAATGCTGTAGTATGTCCGCCAGTGTTAATGGACAGTGAGCCGCTTTTATAGAAAACATTAGCCTTTGGTGTGGTCGATAATGAAGCCAACACACACTACAACGCTCTTGGCCACTACAGTGCGCCACTTTCGTTCACATAGAGTACCACGTTCGTCTACTGACTGTTGTGATCACATTCACATGAGATTCTCGTCTATCTTTTTATCGTCTACAGCTATTACTGGATAAGTGATGAGAGGGGTTATACACCGAAGAACGCGCTTGTTGCTGGAAGCCACCAGCCTGGATGCTACGCTTTAATAGCTCGTGCGAAAATCAATGGGAAAATGGCCATCGGAATGGTAAGTCGTTAGCTACAATGCGATGGATAATAAAAAGTTACTCGAATTGTTGCTTTACTTACTAGAGCTGCATGACTTCAAAGAGCAAACCTCTGTTACAGTGGTACTGAGCACAACATTATACGTACGATTTTTATAGAGCATTTGTTCCTCTACACAAGGTCCATCAATTAGCCCACCCTCTCTATTTTCTACTGCCAATGCGCTATCTGTTAATGTAGGTATACAAACTTGTGGAAGATGTTCAATCAGTCCTTAACCGTTATGACAAGTTCTGTTCCTCACCATTCGGTGGTTTTTGTTTGAAGGCTTCCGATAACCTCCTAAAGGCCCGGGTTTCGAGTGCCTCCTGATAAAATCAAGCAAGTTCGTAATCGCTCCTGTGCAGGTAACACACTATATGTATCGAATTCATCAGTTACGGTCGCAATGATCGAGCTGAGCAAGTTTCACCTCAATGAGAGTCGCGGTCCACATTGAAGTTGCGCGCTTCAAATTAATATGATCTGTTTAATAATTGTGAAGCATTCATTCGCCTTGTGAATGACAGCGAAATCTATAATTTCTGTACCGCTGAGATACAATAGGAATGTAGTCCGTTGCTTATACTTCGTGCTAGAGCAATCTGCAGTCCAGAGACGCTGGAAATCGAAACCAGGCTCATACTTAATAGGCTGCAAGGAAATGGATACGCGAACCTTCAAGCTAAAAACACTCCAAACAGCTTAAGGCTATCAAATGTGTCGCTGCAGTGCCCAAAATGAACCCATTCCTTACAGTTCCCATTGAAGGTGACATCGCGTTCGAACTGTTGGGTAGAAAAACCTCGACTGCAGTGGCCAAGACATTTCCAGCCGCCAACTTAAACCTACTTGTCGAAACAAGGCCATTGAATCTTTAGCGCTTATATGATAAAATCCCGGTTAGGTGCGAATAGTTTATTTTACACCAGTTCACCTGCACCTATGGTGCTAGGTATCTTGGACATGCGACCAGGTTTTTGTCCAAAAGAATCGCTGAACATTGTCCGGCATCACTACGAAAAGCCAAGGTAAAATCCATCAACAGTGCCTTTTTACAACACTTGGTCGCCACTGGACATCAAGTGCAGATGAACCATTCGTTTCAAATCTTCTATACTATCCCTAAACGCTACCCCAAAACAGCTTAAGAAATATCTGTTGAGCACTTCCGAAGCCATTGCAATCAAGGTTCTATAACCAGAGCTATGCAAACAGCGCACACAGATAAAAACTATGAAATTACCTTCGCCTTGAACTTGACATATGACCTGCATTGAACACGTGCTTCCTAATGCGACTGTCTGATTGACCAAACCATTAATTTTGTTTTCACACTGCCCAATTAAGGAGTTGGTTGGTTTCAGTACAAGCCTCTTTGCTTCATACTTGTAAACGCCAGATGATAATTATCGAAAAGAATATTCTTCACGCATTTGCTTAAAACTATTTTCATTAAGTCTGTCAGCGTTATGTATGGCTCGAGATTAAATGTGCGGTTTACGAAGAACACGACTGGCCTCTTTCTGCTTACTGTGCTTATCAAGCATGATGGGGAAGAGCTTTGCAAATGTATCACAACTACTTTAATGCGGTGCAAATTAACCGATCGATAGCACAATGATAACCTTCCGAATGTCTGTTTTCACTCTTTATCCAGTGTGGAATTTGGCACGTCTGATACATTATGACGGTCGCACCTTTGTTGTAAAACCAATCCACCAGTTTTGCTGGTGTGAAGATTGCATTCCTGTTCAATTCCATACCTCAGTAACACCGTATGGGACAATTATCAATGTATCCATGCATCCGAGATCAAATTCCGCTGCTAACTCTCCTCGCAGAATTCACCATCCAATCAGCGGGCAGTAAGTTAATCACAGTGAGCAACATAACTGGTAGGAGATGAATATTGTGAATGGAAGGTTTGAAAACGCTGCACACCATGACGCGTTTCGATCTTATTTGGTCTCATCACGTAGTGATTGCAGTCATCAAACTCGGAATCATGGAATGTCATCTGAAGCCTCTACCCTGAGCTACCGAGTCATGGCATGCGGCGCTTTCTGTTAGCGGTCGGTGACCGATTGGAGCGTCATTTAGCAATACTCGTTGTGTGCATAGATAGCGACACGCAGTCTCAGTGTGGACTGTAATTCCCATTAAAGCGAGCCATGGCCACTTTTGTACCTAGGACGATGGTTGAAGCGTATGGTATTTGGATGTTGGCCGCACGTAACGCTGCACTCTACTAGGCGTTTGGACCCTAATGGATCTTATCATGTAGAGATAGCAGGCAACGAATTCGGGACCACTGGGATGTTATTTTTGACCTCTTCTCCTTTAGTCAGTAAATCATGAGGGACAAAGCTAGGCACAACGGTTAACGACTGCTTGGAGTGTCATTTGAACTTACCCATTGTGTGGTTGGATTGCGACGTCCAACCTCTAGGTGAATCGTGATTCGTATTGGAGTAAACCATATTCAAATAGATCATTAGGACCGTAGCTGAAGCAGATGGAATTTGGAATTTGCCGGTTTGAAGACGCTGCCCCCTGAGACCGGTTTCCAATATGTTCGACTTCATCAACAAGAAACAACAAGCACTCGAAAGTCATAATCAATGGGATGCCAGTCGATTAAACGATTAGAGTAAATTCAATTCTGTGCTAACCGCGGCACACCTGCAGACTGAATGTCTCAATTCATTCACACAAGTATTTCAAAATGGCCCGTCTAACTGGAAGCTGCTTCACGATTTAGAGTAGGTGGTGTTTTGGCGTTTCTCCTTTAACCGATGTGAAGTGGTTCAGTAATGTTTGACGTGCTCTTTTGCGCTTGGAGTTCGGGATCATACAATAGACATCTCTAGACTGTACTACCTCTTCTGTACTCATTACAACCACAATCTCGGCATCTGAACATAGTTCTGCTGCTGGGCAATATCAAACCGTGAGGGAATGGATTCAACCATGCCGGATTCCAGCTGGCGTTTGCACCCAGCATCCGAGGAGACAACCTTCTCCCGTTAGATCTGATGTTGTTGTTAAATGTATAAAATAGAATGGTTTGGATTGAATTCCATTTGAATTATTGACTGCATTCGTATCAGTGGAAACGGACGAAACATCTAGACAGTAGCAATAGCATGTAGGAGAGGCCCAAAAGCAGTTAGACGTCGATAGTCATTTAGAATAATGTTGGCCAAATATACAGCAAATCGAAATTATGCACGGACATGACTAATGATAGAATGATATCTGTTATTTTTTCAGCTAACGGAATTTTGCAGCGAGGCTTGCTTCGTTGTCAACGATGCCATAGAAACAAGCGAATATTACGAGATTTTGGTATGGGAGAAAAAACCAGCCTAACCTGGATCCGTCAACTCGCCTCCTAATTTGTACAGGAATTCTAGACTGAACAGATTATTTTTCGCTGCTGGTTTCATTCAACGTGGGTGTTCTCACTAACAAAGCCTTTTCTACTTCTAATCTGAAATTCATTCAATAAATGAGAAATGTCTGCATAAACCCATCGAAGTTCTGAATTAGCCAACTGCACACAGTGTTGCCACGCTCACTAGGCTCCATTGTGAACATCTTAAACCTCACAGGTACCATTGTTGGTCGACAGTATTTACAACCAAACTTTGTCCGAATGAAGCCAGAGCCGCTAAGCACTTAGGTATACTTGCGCGCTCGTGGTTGACAATTATTTTGAAACAATGGAATCAATGGATTCTGACGGGTGGAGGAGATCAAAGCTTGACGAGTTCGAGGATTTGAGGATGAGTACTGTATGAAACCATGTAGTGTCAACAAGCTAAAAGGATTTAGGCGACACACAGAGATTGTTGTGTAGCATTGACGCTCAGTCGTTAAATGCTGTCACACAATACAAAGGCATTAGTGTATCCAGACGACATCTTCGAAAGTCGTTAACGTGGGGAAAAAATTAACCTAAGAGGAGGGGAGAGTTCTACCAATGATCCACGCAGAGACAGAAGAAATTACAGCGCCATCCCCACCGGTTCTACTCCTTGGCCGAGATCTGTTGATGGTTTCTCAGTGTAGTACTCTGATTCATCTTACGAAGGTGATGAAAAAGTAGTTGGGATTTTCAAGATCTGATACTACGCTATCATCTATGGACGCATACGTTGATACTGTCCACTGCAGAACCACAGAGTTATTAGACTCATTTGGTAAGCGTGATAGTGCTACTTCTTTAAATTCTTTGTGACTATCCGTCATGGCAACTTGAGTGCGGCAAAGGCATACTGCTACCAGGGGCCTCAGGCATAGATGGCGTACAATAAAAGGGATAATGTTAAATGTTGAGCTTCTACGAGAAAATGGAAAGGTCAAACTACTGGAATGCTGCTGACAGTAGGCCAAGATATTGGTTGGCTTTTTGTATGCCTTCTCGGCAAAACGTGAACAACCGAGATTGTCCTGTATCAGCACTCTTAGGTCACATTTAGTGGAAGAGCTTTCGAAGTAGACTACTGCTTAGCACAACTAAGTATCAAAAAAGCAATGACTTGTTCAGTACTCACTAGAACCGGAAGGTTATCATAAGAGCAATCCATCTGTCAACCTCAACCGGCCCAAGGTTCAGCTGCAGCAGGTCACCAAAAGCCAATTAGTGACCTACATCACGATAATTGGCCCTGCTTACACATTGAACCTGTAGTCTCGTACCGGCCACTGGCTTACGAAACATTTCCTGTCTATACATCAATGCACAGCTCCTCTTCATCAAGCCTCTATGTTTTAATACCTAAGCATGTTAACTTGGATGAGCGATGGTCACTTGTCTCATGGCCGCATATGTTTCCATATAAGTGTCGACTGCGATCAAAGCAGATGTCAGTAAAGCGCAGAGGTATTCATGTTGTATGTTACGGCGGTAGAGACAGAGGACAAGCCAATTCGCCGAACAAACTCACGATCTGGGCGACAACACATTGGGCGAGGAACGGGATAAATGGTAGTATTAAACTGTAGTGTAACGGACTGCGGAGACGGAAAAGGCACAGGTCTTCGAGTACTATTTACATGGTACTCAAGATAAACTCGACACTATTGTTTGAGCAGTCAGAATGCCAAAACTGAACAGTATAAAAGTTGCTTCTCGTGAATTTGAATTTACACTCAAATTCACATTCAAATGGGGCCGGAACGATAGGAGCATACCGTGAATGTCCCACCTAAAATTGTCGTTGATCCAAGAGTGAACATTTGGAGCGATGTGCAAGAAGGAGCCGAATCAACAAGCTATATTCACTCCACAGGGGAATTTTCAAACTGCATTTTAAGGGTGTCAAGTCGATTTTCGAACTCTTTCATCGCATGCACCACGTTCTAAGCGTCAGTAGCCCTGCGTGATAAACAAGAATCAGTTAAAACCCGGGCTACCTGGGGTCTGTACAATATTAATCGGTGACCACGTAGAGTCGACACCCGAGTGGAATGAAATAGTCCGGATGAATCCGGTCAGATCTGACCTATTAGCATGCGATACGTGAGGAAAAGGTCACAGCGAAAACGCCTGCAGTGTTAGGCTTTTTATTATGTTACTGCGAATTTTGATGTCTTTAATAACTATGCATTCAAATAATTTGCTTTCAGCTTGTACATCTTTTGGAAGCATGTATTGCGCTCTATCTTCCTATGGTGGCAATTTCGCTCAGAAACACACTTTCACAGCTTTACAGAATATTTAATGAAACATGGACTGCAGACAAATTCGCATGATTTGTTTGTACTAATTTATTCTTGGTCAAAATGCAGTGGAAACAGCCCATGGTATCAACACTGCGCCTGGTGCTGGAACCACTAATAACCGTACTGTACAATGGTGCTTTCAGGAATTTCCGGAAATTTACGAGATGTTTGAAGAAGAAGATTGTTTTGATCGGTTACTATAAGTGAACAACAATCAATTAAGTGACTTGGTAAAAGCAGTTCAGCATAAAACTCTTCGAGCTCATCCTGCTGGGTTAGCAGTATGTCGAAAAAGTTTGATAAGTTGGTGTCGTGCCAATTGAATGAAACTCGACGAATTCGGCCAGTTTATCGACAGTATTTTGACTTGAAATGAAAAGTAAATCCTTTACGACAATCGACGACCAATCCCTCAATGGCTGGACCACTTTCAAGCTCCACAACCATTCCCAAAGCCGAAAATGCACCCAAGAACAGTTATAGTGTATGTCTGGTCATCTGCGTTTTGTCTGATCCATCACAGCTTTCTGAATCCAGACGAAAGCACTACAGCGGAGAAGTATTGTCAACCAATTGTCGAAATGCACCGAAAACCTCAACACAGGTGCCCGACACTGGCAACCAATAGTGGCCATTTCTTCTTTATGATAACGCGCGGTCGCACGTCGCACTAATAACCCTGCGGAAGCCGCACGAGCTGGGCTACGAAACTTTGCTTGACTCACCATACTACTCTGACTTCCAGCTTACCCACTAACACTTTTTCAAGCACCTGCATAACGTCCTACGACAGCAAATTTTTAAGACCCAAGAAGGTGCTGACAGCACCTTCTAAGATTTTATCGCCACCAGAATTGCGGAATTTTATTCATCCGGAATAAATAAACTTGTATCCTATTGGCATAAGTGTGTCAATTCAAATGGTTTTCATTTCAAGTATAAATGTACATCTGATTTAAGATATATGCATTTAAAATATAAGATCGAAAACCGCATTAACCTTATCACCAATCTACTACATCGGAAAGATGTGCAGGATGAGTAGCCTCCCAAGCTACCACGCGCTGGATTCTGCTTTTTCTCTGGAATTACTGTATTTTACGTGTGTTGCTGTGTTAGTTGTGCACCAAACTTTTTAGTTTCGTGTGTTCATCAATCCGTGAAAGTTTCGTGGAATTCCGCTTGATATCTTCGGAGATCTCAGTGATTTACTGCTGTGCCCGTCATTTTGGAATTTGTGATCGACATCTTGCTTGTCTTCGTGCTTGAAAAAATACAACAACTATGCCGAATATCATGCAACGACGTATCTGCTCTTCAGCTAATTGCGGCAAAGCCCTTAAAATGGGTATAACGTGCCGAAACTGCAGTGGCTCGTTCCACCCGAGCTGTATAGGAAAGTCCGCCCAAGAAGCAAGGCAAATAAACAAGGCTACTGACGCATTTTGGTTTTGTCCAACTTGCCAGTTAACTCCAGTGGTCGGTTGTTTATGTGCACTCATGGAAAGGTGCGATACTTTGAATGCGACAATCGCTTATTTGTTGAACGCCAGGCTTGCACCACCGGCCGCGAATATGGCCATGATTGTACCACAGTCGGTCAAAGAAAGCTCCACCTCGAGGCCGAAAAAAAGGGCTAGACGCTCAAGTCGCGCTGCAGCCTCAGTTTCTCCAAATCCCTTGCCTCACTCAACTCCCAAAAGCGGACGAACATCCAGAGTACTGATGTCCACACCTTTGAGTCACACGCCCCACCTCCATTCAACAGCAACCGCGGAAGCTCCGGGGCAAACCTCTTCCGCCGTAGAGAAAAGTCCGGCGTCGTACGCCTCAGTCGCCTCAATGCATACACCGGCTAAATTACCTCCGACTCCGGTGGCCTCACCAAGCAACAGTAAGTTGACCAGACTCCAACAACCAAACAATCCGTTTAACACCGTGTCTTTAAGTCATGGCAAATCTGCATCCAACGCAAGGAGCCAAGGCGCGTTAACCGTTGTGTGTACAAATGTTCCTGAATCACAGGCGAGTACAATAAAGGGGAAGCTGTTGGATGATCGTAATCAGTGGAAGTCTATATGTACTGCGATTGGCATTTCGGTTGAACCTGCAATGCTGAGACGAGTCACACGTCATCCAAATTCAGCGCACTACGGTGAACCCCGACTTCTCCGGGTGACACTAAACTCCATCAAGGACACAGAGGCAGTTCTACTATCGTCCAACAGGCTTTGTCATTCATCACTCGAGGCGCGTATACTTCCTGATATCCCCTGGAACGAACGTCCGAAAAAGATGAGCAACCGCGAAGAAGTTCGTAAAGCCGAGGCGAAACGGACGATAATTGTGTACGGGGTTCCTGAGCTCCAAAATTCAACCTCTGATGCAGCGGATGCACATGACCGGGAGCAATGGAGTTACATCCGCCACGAAATCTCCCTCAATAATATCATCGCTAAGCGGTTGACCAGGATTCCATTTTCACCCAACTACAAAGGGAACGGTCCCAGACTTATGAAGGTGGTGCTTCAATCTGAGTTTATGTTACCGCTCGCCTTGGAAAACTGGTCCAAATTCCGCATGAAGCTGCCAGCTGAAATTCGGTTAAAGGCATCAGGTACGCTGCCACGGATTACCAACGGCTCACGGGGAGCCATCAAATTGTTGAACCATCCACTCATGCAACTTTGTGAAGGCATGGATTTATCAACAACCGCAATATCCCACGAAACACGGCTGAACACGGGGGACCAGCAGGGCCCGGAAGGCCGCGATCAGTCGTCTAACCGAAAGCAAACTCA